TTGTTTTTGTTTTTTGGCTTTTTCTGGCAGGGGGTCAAACTCTCCAAAATCCCGCCCAGCCTCCCTGCCTCCACCTTGTCCTCTACTTTTGAAAAAATGTTGTCTTTTTTTTGTTGTTGTTTTTCTTTTTTGGCTTTTTCCGGCGGGGAGTCAAAGTCTCCAAAGTCACACCTAGCCTCCCTGCCTCCACCTTGGCCTCTACTCTTGAAAAAATTTTGCCCTTTTTTTTTGTTGTTTTGTTTTTTGGTTTTTTTTGGCTTTTTCTGGTGGGGGTCAATGTCCCGCCCGGCCTCCCTGCCTCCACCTCGGCCTCCACTCTCCCAAAAATGGTGTCCTCCTCCTCCTCGGCCTCTAATCTCCGAAAAATTGTGTCCTTTTCTTTCTTTCTTTCTTGTTTTGCTTTTCCAGCGGGGGTCAAAGTCTCCAAAGTCCCGCCTAGCCTCCCTGCCTCCACTTTGGCCTCTACTCTCTGGAAAATTGCGTCCTTTTTTTTTTTGTTGTTTTTGTTTTTTGGCTTTTTCCGGCGGGGAGTCAAAAGTCTCCAAAGTCCCGCCCGGCCTCCCTGCCTCCACCTGGCCTCCCTGCCTCCACCTTGGCCTCTACTCTTGAAAAAAATTGTGTCCTTTTTTTTTTCTTTCTTTCTTTGTTGTTTTTGTTTTTTTGGCTTTTTCCAGTGGCCGGGCTGAAGTCCCCAGAGGCCGTCTGTCCTGTCCGGGGGGGGCGGGGGACCCTGCGGCCTCAGCCCATGGCGGTCACCATGCTGGACGGGTGCGGGTGGCCGAAGGGCAGGCCGGGGGAGGGGTGCAGGGGGGTGGGGGTGGGCAGCAGGTGCGCGGGGTGGCCGAAGCCCGGCAGGTGGCCCACGGGGCCCACGTGCCCGGCCAGCGCGGTGGCGCTGAACGGGGACACCTTGTCCGGCCCGCACTTGGCCAGCTCGTCCAGGCCCTCCGGCCCCTTCTTGCCCTTCTTGCACTTGCTGGACATCTTGCGGTTCCGCGTCTGGATCCCCTCCTTCCTCATCGTCAGCGGCCGGTTCACCTGCAAGAGCCGGCGGGCCACCGGGCGTCAGGGGACATGGAGGGGACGCACAGGGGACACGGAGGGGACACACGGGACACAGGGGACACGGAGGGGACACACAGGGGACACACGGGGACACACAGGGGACACACAGGGGACACAGGGGACACGGAGGGGACACACGAGACACACAGGGGACACGGAGGGGACACGCAGGGGACACACGGGGACACACGGGGGACACGGAGGGGACACACAGGGGACACAAAGGGGACACGGAGGGGACACACAGGGGACACGGAGGGGACATGGAGGGGACACGGAGGGGACACACTGGGGACACGGAGGGGACACACAGGGGACATGAAGGGACACGGAGGGGACACACAGGGGACACACAAGGGACACACAGGGGACACGGAGGAGATGAGGAGGGAACACACGGGGGACACACGGGGGACACACGGGGACACGGAGGGGACACACAGGGGACACAAAGGGGACACGGAGGGGACACACAGGGGTGACACGGAGGGGACACACAGGGGACACACGGGGGACACACAGGGGACACACAGGGGACACGGAGGGGACACACAGGGGACACGGAGGGGACACACGAGACACACAGGGGACACGGAGGGGACACGCAGGGGACACACAGGGGACACA